TTTTTTTCTGTGAAAATGGCAAAATTACTGCCTCAGGAAAAAGTGAGAACTTCCCTGGGGGCTGTATTCATTTGGCTGCTCCAGTGGCTCGGTGCTGCACTGAAGTCCAGAGAGGAACCTGCTGGGAACTTGGCAGCAGATGTAAGGGAAAGCAGGGAGTGAGTGAGACTTGAACCCAGCACTTTTCGGGAAACCTGAGAAACCTTTCTTGTCCTTAAGATGTTGGCCCCAGGAACATTTTAGAGAATTATGCCACATCCTGTGCTGTCTCTGCTCACAGCCTCTTACAAGCTTCCAAGGACTGCTGTTTCTCTCCTCTGTTCCCCTTCCCCTCCATTCAGCCCACTGTTGAATTCCTCCCTCCTGTGTCCCCCACTCCATGCCTCACTGAATGTTGGTGAAACAAATCTAGTCTAAAATAATGAGCAATCAACTACCCTGATGCTTGGGGCAGGCTGGGCAGGGGCTGGGGGGAAGGGGTAGGGAACTGAATCATTTATAAAGCTTAATAAAGATGCAGATGAGCTGTGCTGACTAGGAGCCCCAGAGCTGGGCTTATTCATTATTCAAAGTTATGTAAATGCCGCTGGATCCTGTGAGTTAGAATCCTGCCCCTCTTTCCTGCTGCTTCTCTAGGCCTGATAAACCCAGCCTACCTTGTTCCCCCACCTCCCCCAGTTGCTTTCATTGTTGTTGTTAAGTGTTGGGGAGTCTGTCTGACATTGTTGTTAAGTGCCATCAAGTTGATTCAAACCCATAGCGACCCTGTACAGGGTTTCCAAGGAAAAGCTGGTGAGCTTGATCCACCAACTGACCTTGCAGTTCAAAGGACTTTGCAGTCTGATGCATTAGCCCATAGCGCCACACCAGGCCTCCATCTGACTCATAGTGACCCTGTATTGGGTTTATGAGGAGCAGCTGGTGAGTGTGAACCAACAGCTTTACAGTTCAAACCGACCTTGCATCCAGTGCTTATCCTACAGTGACACATCAGGGCTCCAGTTACTTTTATTAGCCCTGCCTGAAATCCTATTTCATATAGCATTCTGGACCCATTTCCTTTGTTCTCCAAAGTAATAAAAATCTTAGACCACTTCAGTCCAGGAGCGAAGGACCCTGGGACCATAAAGGGAGGAGAGTTGAAGTGGAGTATGGGACTCTATTCAGAGAAGCAGCAACACCAGAGATGGAGGCAGAGATGATGACATGGAGAGATGGAGCAGCTGGAGACTCTAGACTCATGGATGGAGAGGGGTTGTGTGCTGGTGGCCAGGGGGCTGGCTTGCAGGGTATGCCCTTTGGTTGTTTGAATGATTATATATTTTTTAGTGTTTTGGTGTACATCCAAAAAAAAAAAAAAACCAGAGGGAATAGAAACAAATACTGTTGAATGATGATGCGTGGAGAGAATTGTAATCATTGCAATGAAAGGGAATACAAAAGGATGAGTGTAAAGCTGATATTCTCCCATGTAAACTATCACTCAATTCACAATAAAAAAAATTTTTTTTTAATTTTTTGACACTTTGGCACTAAGTAAAAAAAAAAATCTTAGACTCCTTAGCCAGCAGGTTTTTAAGGAGGTTCCGGTCTACAGGCAAGACTATTGTTAAGTGTAGTTAAGTTGGTTCCAACATAGTGAAACTGTAAAGGGTTTTTAAGGAAGCAACTGGTGAGTCTGAGCTGCTGACCTTGTCATTAGCAGTCCAGTACTTATCCTATAGCCTCACAGCAGAACTCTTCTTACTACTATTATTCTTTTTAAACGATTTCCAGGGAAAGAATACCACAAGAGTGCTAGGAGTATAGGAGTCTCTGGGAGGTACAAACAGTTACCACAACACTGTTGCTAAGTGAAAGTTTGGAGTCACCCAGTGGTTTCTAGGAAAAAAGTCCTGGATATCCACTAACAAAAAGTCACCCATTGAAAACCCTTAGCACCATAGTTCCACTCTGACACACTTGGGGTTGCCATGAGTCATAGTCGACTCTATGGCAGCTGTTTTTAAACTATATATACTGCATACCACCTCTTTCCACATCGTGATTGCTGACCTGTACCTCACAATTGCATAACTCTTAGGACTTAAATTACATCCCTAGATACACCAGTCTTGCTCTTTTCCCACTACCCCCTACTTTTTCAGTTTGTTGAGGTCGAGAAATGAAAAATTGGGTCAGAGTTGGTGATCACATCGATTGTCTCTGCTTTCCCTTCTCTTCTGGCCTGGCTCTCTCTTCTTCCCACCCGCAATCTATTTTTAGCTTGCCTCTGTTTTCCTTAGTCTGGTTGGCAACCATGTGGGCCTCTTTCTCTACACTCTCCTTATCTCTCCCCTGCAGCCTGCTCAGACCTCAGTTACCCTTCCAGAGGTCTCTTATTGCCTGCCCAATTTATTTTGGTTTTTGTCCATCTCAAAGAGTTGTAGGGTCTGCCTGAAAGGGGATGCTGGCTACACTCAGGCAGAAGGGAAGCAGAGAGATGATGCTGGTTGGTCTGTTATGGCAAATTCTTCAACATTACTGAAATGCTCAAGTTGTCCCTGAACCCCTTCTACAATGGCTTTTCCTTTCTTCTGCTCATAGACTCTTAATTTCCTACATTTCCTCTTCCCCTCAGTGTTCCAACCTTACCCTCCAGCTGAGAAATGCTCAGTTCCTCCTACTAGCACCTTCAGGGCCCATTTCCTTTGGCCTTGGAGGTGGACAGCATCCCTGAAGGCCCTTGCCTGCTTTCTTGTCCTGCACATTACCACTCTCTTCTTATCCAGTTCTTTGATTTCTCTCAGCTCCTCAGTGACCCCTCCTACAGAGATCCCCACTTCCCACACACCCTCTGCCCCTCTTGTACTCTCTGTTTCTAGGACACGACAGTCTCCTTTAGAAAGTGTCTTAGCCAGCTCAGGCAGGGCTTGTCAGCCATCCCCCACTTGTCCTTTCTCAGCCTTCTTTAGACACTGGTCCCCTCCTTTAGCTGTCACCAACTAGCTGAATAAGGCTGGATATTTTGGAAGGGGAGCTGCAGCTGGCTGGGGGAGGAGAGTGGCATCCAGAGAACAAGAGATGAGGAGCAGCGGGCAGCCTTCAAGCAAGAGAGAGGTTCCCAACAAACTTTTTGTCCCCCAATTCTGTCAGCTTGGGAGCTGGTGGGATCTTACACTGATCCCCTTCTGGACCTTGGCTTTTCTTCCCCCAGTGAATTATAACACAGCACAGTACTCTGCAGTAACATTCTTTTACATACACATCCAGATGTCTGCAAGTTTACGCAGTCTCCTCTTTCAAATCTGCTCAAATGCCCATTCCTCCAAGAGTCTTACCCTGACTACCCCATCTAAAATTACAGCCCCTCCCCCAGCATCCTCTATCCTCTTCTCCCTGCTCTGGTGCTTTTCCCCAAAGCTCTTAGCACCTTCTAACCTACGATATCTTTTACTTCTGTCTACTGCTTGCATGTCTTCTCCACACCTAACTAAACTGCCTAAGAGCAGGGCGTTTCTCTGTTTTGTTCACTGGTATATCCACACTGCCTAGCACAGTGTGTAGCACATAGTAGAGGCTCAGTGAATGACTGATCTTACTTAATTCTCACACACCTTTGTAGAACTGATCAGTACTGTTATTTCCATTTTACAGATGGGAATAAGGCTAAGATTCAGAGTACCATTTGAGATCTCTATGGCTGACAGGATTGGCTGGATTTTGATGAGTCACTGGGCAAATCAAGACTAACACATGTACCTCAGCCTTTAAGGACTTGGGCAGCTGAAGAGCCCTTTTCTCTGTGTTGTATTTTCTTTGGGACTTTTTTACCCATGTTCCCATTTCACACTTTTCCCGCCTCAGTGACTCCTCCTCACATTTCCATCCCACCCAGTCCCCAGTTTTTCTCTCTCCAGAGGATTTTAACTCGTGTTCTCTCAGGTCAAACTGGCCCAATGTGGACAGCCTCCTGCTTGGGTTTCATCTGAGTGTATTCAGCCTTGCTTGAGTCCCTGTTTATCCCCATCACCCCACCCACTCACCCACCTCGGGGTAGTTATGAGTCTGTTCCTTTCCAAAGCAATTAGTACAAGGAGGCCAGCCGACTCGGTGCTAATGCCGTTTCATTAAGTGGGAGCAATCCTAATGATAATAAAATGGCACATTTAACATTCAAACATTGAACAGGGCTTCTAAGCGAGTGTGTCTCTCTCTTTCTTTCTGGTATAACAGCTCCATCTTCATAAAGACCTGATAATACACCTTAATGAGAGACTGGGGAGCTGAGCATCTTTAGAGAGAGAGGATGAGGATGAGACAAAGAAGCCAGAGAAAAGGAGTGCAATGCATTGAGGAAATAGAGACTCCAAGAATTCCTGGGGAAATGGATTCTGTGGTGCCGATGTATACAATTAAAGTCTGCAAGAAATGAGGTCACATGGAAAGGAAAGCCTACCACAGACTTTAATGCAGTGCATTATTTATTCATTTGTTTGTTCAACAAATTTTGCTAAGCAAACATTTATTGTGCACCTAAGATGAGTCAGATTTTATAGGAGTTTGTGATAGAGGATGGCTCTGGGTTTAGGAAAAGGGGCTTCAAAGGCAGCAATGAGCTACTCGAAATCATCTTATTTACTTCCTCCTGGGCAGATTCAGTCAATTTCATCTCAAGTTCATCAACTGTCCCAGGGAGGAGAATTTTAACAACTGCCTTGGTCTTCTGAGTCCATTCCTATACCCCCTCCCTCGGGAGACATTCATCTCAGAAAGCCTTGCAGTTCTGTGATTATAAAATATCTGATCGACCATCTGGGCCAGGAAAGCAGTGGGATTGGGGAGCTGGCCAGGAAAAAATAGATGGACTCAATCATCAAGTACTGGGGTTGGGAGGGGCAAGGGAAGACTCAAGAGAGATAGAAGGAAAAAGCTAACATCTTGCAGAATTACTTCATCTGAGATCTCTTGCCCAGCATAGGACTTTCTCCCCAAATCTAGTGCACAAAAGGGAGGCAGGGTCAAAGGTGAGCTTTGCCAAAGCCAGGAAAGCGGTTGATTCGAAAAGGTGTCAAGTCATAGGATGGTGTTAATTTCATGCTTAATTCATACAGGATCTTCCCCACAACAGGGGACAGCTTGAATCCGTGCCCTGGGAAAAGTAGAGTAGATTGTCACTCATCTTCAGAGATGAAGAGGCTGGGCATATTGGAAATATTGAAAATCCCCTATATTTACCAGATAGGATGAACTCTCCTCTTTGTTGCCTCCCAAAGCCAGAAGTTGCCTCCTACTATGAATATCCCTTCTTTTCTGACTGTCCAGACCCCTGACACACTCAATTTCTAGATTTCGGGACCTATCTGGCCAGCTAAGAGCATGGAAAATACCATTTTGCCTGACTCCTAGATAGGTAAGCTGTAAGGCACCCCATCTCCCCCTCCTCGGGCTCACCAGAGAATCCAGCCCCGATGACAATGTTGTCATATTTTGGATGGCGATCGAGAATGAAGTGCTTATCAGGGGTGTTCTAGAAAGAAACAATCACACATGTGTCCTTTGAAGCTGAAGGGAAGAGGAAGGCTCTGAAGGGAAGGGACTAGGCTGGATTTCTTTCCAGAAAAAAATGGGAAGTGGGCACAGGAATGTTCTCTGCATGCCAGTGCCCTCTCTGGGTTTGCCAGTCTTTCTCATTTATCCATCTGCCTCTCTTCTTATACAAAGCCATGAACACAGTAGGTGCTCAGTTAATGCTTGTAAACTAACTCTAGCCAAGATGCCTCAGGCCCTGGTGACATCTGTCTCTTCCCTCTTTCCCTAAGGCCCACTTAACTGGCACATCTTGCCAGAAAATCTTTTAGAGCTCTTCTGGGAAATGCAGTGAAGGCTTGCCAGGCATCAGCCTAGTTTCCTAATGAAAAAAAATATGGGCTCCCCTCTGATGGAGGTGAGCAGACCCTACTTTGTTTAACGTCACATACTATATCAGGAATCAAATAAAGTCTGGCCTGACCAACACAGTCTGACTGTCTGTCTGTCTCCCCACTGTTCTCCAGGGCTGTGAGAAGACTTAGTGAGGCCACCCAGACCCTGTACCGTGTACATGCAGCGTTCCATAATGGCAGGTGTGGGTCGTAGGTCAGGTAAGTGATCTTGGACAAAGCGGCATAGGATTTGGACATCTTGGGTATCAGAGAATGCAGAGGAGCAATCCCGTTCCTCAGGATCTGCATTGTTGCCGTGGTGATAGCAGACCTAGCTTCCAATCAAAGCAGTGTGAGCAATGAGCTCTGGCCTTCCATTCAAACCCACCTAGCCCAGGACCCAGGCAGGCTTGCACACAGTGTCCTCCATCCATCTATCATCCCAGCCTTCCCCAATTCTGAAGGATGCTGTTTGGTGCCACATGAGACTACCTTGCTGTGCACTCCCCCACCCTGACCCCCACCCTTTGTTTGCAGCAGTGTTTAGGAATGTAAGATCCTCAAAGGGAGGACTTCCTCTGGTGGAATCCCGGACTGTTGAGTGTCTTCCATTGCCAACAGTGAATAGTGCAGTAGATTACTGCTACAGCCTACACAGATGTGAGGGAGTCTGCTGGAAGTTAGAGCAGCTATCCCAAATCTGTGTGAGCACTTATTAGACTTTTTGTGACCCTTCCACTCACCTTCATCAGTCCTGGGTACTCTCCTGAAGGCAGTCCATAGAAGTGGTGGGGAGCCTGGTCCAGGCCCAGGCCCAGGAAGCATGGAAAGGCCTGAGACACACCATAGCTCCCAGGAACCTTCTCACCCCAGTAACACACATTAATCCGCAGGGTCTTGGAACAGGGAAAGGAAGTAGGATATAGAGAGGGAAAGCCATAGAACTCTCCATATAAGGAGAATAGTTTCTTCTGAGGTACTGCAGCCCTTTAATACAGGCCTAAAGGCCCACCTTGACACATATATCCTTGCTTCATTGAATTCTCATGACATTCACATGTCTCGGGTTTGATGTTATGATGTACAAAAGCTTCCTAATCTCTGTCTCTTCCCCTATTCTTACTCTTCTCTCATAACTATGCCCCAGCCCTACTCCTTTCTCTCCAGGAGTTAATAGCAACTCACATTTATTGAGCCCTTATTTAGGCCAGAGTTCCAGGGTGGTGAAATCAGTTAATGAGCTGGGCTACTAACCAAAAGGCTGAAAGTTCTAGTTTACCCAGCAGTACCTCAGAAGAAAGGCCTGGTGACCTACTTCCAGAAAATGTATTAAAAACTGTATGGAGCACAGTTCTACTGACACATGGGGTCACCAAGAGTCAGAATTGACTTGATAGCAACTGGTTTTCTGTTTTAAGGCTGTCTCCTTAGAGCTTTATGGACATTGTATAATTGAATTCTCAAACAGCTCTCTGAGGTAGCTATTATTCCCCATTTTAAAGGTGATAAAATTGAGGCTCAGAAGGTGAACTGATTTGCCCATGGTTGTCCACTAGTAAGTGATAGATCCAGGATTCAAACTTGAGTCCATCTGTCTCTAAGACCTCTTCTTTTAAGGACCAGTTCTCCAGTTCCAATCACCCTTACCTGGAGAGGTAACTGAATTCCCAAGGGACGGAGGAGCCTGTTAGTCCAAGGGCCTGCTGTGATGACCACACTCTTGGCCTGGTAGCTCTTGGAGGTGGTTTTTACTGTGACCAGGAGCCCTGGCTTTATCTCCATCACCTTCTCTCCATCATGTACCTTGCCTCCCAGCTGTCGAACTACATCCTGAAAAGGCAGGGAGGGGAAGAGGCAAATTAGTTGTCTATATGGCTCACTCTTGTGGACAGAATTCTTCTCAGGGCAGAAAAGAGAAGCAAATTCTAGACTTCCTCTCTTACATTGACATGGCCTAGCAGAGGCTTCAGATCTAACCAGAGGCACATTAAAAGGCAGGCCTGATAATCTACTTCTGAAAAAATCAGCCATTGAAAACCTTGTGGAGCACAGTTCTACTCTGACACATGAGTCGCCCTGAGTTGGAATCAAGCCCCTGGTTAAGCAGAATGTATTAAACTACCTTGACTAACAGGTCATTAAGGCTCTCATTCAAATGGGATCTGGGGATGGCTGATTGGAACCCAGATGCCCAGAGCAGGGAGACGCGTCACCCTTAATGCTGCTGTATGATACCACCTGAAGGGCTCCGAGAGCCTTGTCTGCGTAGAGCACTCCTCCAGACTTGTCCAAGAGACCCACTTCTCCCCCAGTCAACCAAATATTTGGGAAACATTGCTTCAGTTCCTCAGGTGGAAGATACTGGTGTTCCACCCCCTGCCTAGACAGAGTGGCCCAGATAGTCTGAAATTCTGGGTGCTCCTTCACTCCCAGCAGCAATAGTCCAGTCTGCCTGTGGGAAAAAGGGAGATCTGGGTGAGAATGTATGTCAGGGTCCTGGGTCATTTGTTCTTCTTCAACGGGGACTTTGGTCCTGGTAATGGAAGAAAACCCTAGCCCTATGTCTAGACAAGTAAGTCACCTAGATCCTGTTGTAAGAACTCTAGTACTATAAAGCATGTTTACAGCTCATTTCCAAGTCTGCCCTTGGCTCTGACTTTTGGTTTGTTTGTCCCTCCATCCTTTAGCCTCAAGAATAGTTCCTTGAAGGCACAGATCCTAAGTCTTCTCTTACTTTGTACACCTTGAAAGTATATGTTCAGTCAGTTTGATCATTTTTTTCCCCTCTTCTTCCTGGCCCCTGACCTCATTCACTATTTTAATCTCTCTATTCTGTCTGGATTCTTTCTCCTCATACTCAGTTGCTTTTCCCTCCACTCCCCACCTTTTTTGGGATCAAATTATGTTTTGTCCCTTGTGTGTCCAGCTCTGTCTCTCAATTCCTTTCCAGAAGTGTTTTCTGTTTTGTGGAAAGAATCCTATTATGGATTGAATTGTGTTCTCCAGAAAGACACATTGAGTCCTATCCCCTGGGACCTGTGACTGTGACCTTGTTTGGAAATAGGGTCTTTGAAAAATTCCAAGTTAACTTACATGAGGTTATACTGGAGTAGGGGGTTCCTAATCCATTCTCAGAGGAAAAGACACACAGCGACAAACAGGGAAATGGCTAAGTGAGTTATGAGTTATACTGCAGCTAGAAGCCAAGGAATGCCTGGGACTACCTGAACCCAGGAAAGATCAAAAAGGCTCTTCCCTAGACCCTGCCAGTAGCCTAAATTTAGACTAGTCTCCAGAAGTGTAAGACAATAGACTCCTGTTTCTGTCAGGCCCGTCTTAGTTCTGCTATCATAGAAATACCACAAGTAGATGACTCTAAGCAACAGAAATGTATTCTCTCACAATTTAGGAGGCTAGAAGTCTGAATTCAGGGTACCAGCTCCAGGGGAAGGCTTTCTCCTTCTGTCAGCTCTAGAGAAGAAGGTCCTTGTCATCAGTTTTTCTCTGGGTACAGGAATCCCTGGGATCCAAAGGATGCGTTCCGCTGCTGGCTCTTTTTTCATGTTGGCAGGTGGTTGCTCTTTCTGCTCATTTTTTTATCTCTTGCATTTCTCAAAAAAGATTGACTCAAAATATAACCTAATCCTTTAAATTGTATGCTGCCTCATTAACATAGTTTCCACTAATCCTACCTTATTAACATCACAGAGGTTAGGATTTACAATACAGGGAATAATTACATCAGATCACAAAATGAAGGATAATTACATAGTAGTGGGAATCATGGCCTAGCCAAGTTGACCCATATTTGGGGGTGGGGATGGGGGGCCTGGGCACAATTAAATTCATAATACTACCCAATTTGTTGTATTTTGTTATGGCAGCCCTAGGAAATGAATCCTGTTGTTGTTGTTGTTTGTTGTTAGCTGCTGTTGTGTCAGCTCTGACTCATGGCAACCATATAGATAACAGAATGAAAGGTTAGCTGGCCCAGTGCCTTCTTCATGGTTAGCAATCTGACAATATTCTGTTGTGATCCATTGAATTTTCATTGCCTAATTAAGGAGCTCTGGTAGCGTAGTGGTTACGAC